GGACATGAGCCTCGGCGAGCCGTGCTGGTGCTTGGGCCTTGCCCCAGAGAAGCGCGGAAGCGGCGGTTACGACGACGAAGACGAAGACGACTCTGAGCACGACAGCGACGACAACGACGACGGTCGCGACACCACGCTGGAAGAAGAAAAGGGCGGAACAGCAGCAGCTTTGCCTGCGACCGTGCTAGAAGACAGCATGCACGCAGACATTGGTGACCACGAGGCCATCATAGATTCTGGTTGCTCCAAGGGCATGGTCAGCAAGAAACGCCTGGAAAACTTCAAAGCCTTGCTTCAACAGGAGTACCCCGAGCTCTACGTGAGCGAAAGGCCGTCGAACACGAAGTATCGGTTCGCTGGTGGCGACCCGAAGACGGCGGAAGCCGTTGCAACCATACCTGTCCAACACCTGAATGCCACCACAGAGTTCGAAGTGCTGAACACTGGCCCCGAACAGACAAAGGCCACGCCTTTCTTGTTGGGAAAGCCGCAGCTAAAGAATCTGAAAGCAGTGATCGACTTCGAGAAGGACACCATGTACTCGAAAACCACCGGCACCACTGTCCAACTGAAAACTTCGAGTGCGGGACATTACCTGTCCCCTCTCATGTTGCTCAACAGTGTTGCCGCGGTAGCAACAGAGGCACATGACTGCGATTTTGCGCCTCTTAGTGACGCAACAGCTTTCGAGACTGTGACCGTTCAAGAGCACCCGAGAGCCTTCGCGGTGTCTCTTCCGCCGCGTCTGGAGCAACTTCGCGCCGACTTTCAGACGGAAGCTGGTCTCAAACGGATGCACGACAAGCTCGCGCACCCGACCGTGGACCAGTTTTTCATGCGACGCATCACTCCTGCCTTGCTTCCCGAGACAGTGCCACAGGTCAGAAAGCTTGCCGAAAAAGTCACGAAGCGTTGTAAGATCTGCGACAAGTTCCGCAAACCGCACGCGCACCCAAAGACTTCTGGCATGTCTGCGAGAAATGTAAACGACCTTGCGTGCATTGATCCCTTTGAAGTGTCAGTATGCGGAAGCAAGTACATCTTTCACCACATGGTCGATTCTTTCTCGAAGTGGTCGCTCGCGGAGTATACGTGCACCCGCGAACCCTCTGGAACACTTGCTACCCTCTCAAGGTGGCAGTCGGTCTACGGATGTCTCCCGCGCAGCGTTCTTACGGACAACGGCGGCGAGTATCAGAACAAGGAGGTAGAAACGTTCTTGATGCATCACGGCACAAGGCATTTTTGGAATTCTCCTCATACTCCCGCCTCTGCGGGCTTAGTAGAGCGCCACAACGGCGTGCTCAAGATGGTTTTCTACAAGCTCGCCGAAAACTTCAAAACGGAATTGAGCAGTGGCACTCTGTCGCCGACGGACGTCATGCTCCAGGCGTGCGCTGCCAAGAACAGCCTCGTTCGTAGGTGTGGTTTTTCCGCTCAGTTCCTCGCTCTCGGAAACAACCATTTCTTTGACCAGATCGATGAGTGTGAGCCGCCACAGCTGCAGGCGTTCAGAACAGACGCCGCTGCCCACGCTCATGCCAGGTTGTCTCTCCGTCGTGCTGCTCAGGATGTCGCTGTGCATATCCAGACATGTTCCGAGCTTCGTGATCTCTTCAACTCCCGTCTTGCGGGCACCACTGGCCCTCTCGACTCGGGAACAGAAGTCGATTACATCGCAGATGACACCCCGAAGGCAAAAACAGCCGGAACAGCTTGGGAAGGACCTGCCGTAGTGCTCGGCATGGAAGGGAACCAGAAAGCGCGGCTCAGAACCCCCGATGGCAAAGCCATAGCTGTCCACAGGCACCGGGTGCGACCAAAAGAAAACAGAGGGCTTTTGGAACTACGAGTGCAAGCGGGACCACAACTACAACCACCAGGGCCACCACAACAACCACCTGCACCAAAGCAAGAAGACAGTGCGCCACCAATAGCGCGCGTGAAAGAAGAGCCGCAGGACGACGATTCTGCGCCAACGCCTCCACCACAAGCTCCACCTCCGTACCTCCCTCCTGCTGCCGGGGCTCGTCCGGCCCCTGCCGGTTTTCCAGGACCTGCGAGCTTGGGCTTCCCGGCCGCGGGAAATGGGATTCCAGCGTCTACGGGCGCGCTGCCGCCGCCTCCCTCCGCGCCGCCAGTGTTTCCACAGCAGCCAGCGCCGCCCTTCGGCGCCGCTTCCGCGCCGCCCCCGGCACAAGCTGCTCACGAACCTCTGCGCCGACACAGGGCGAAGTCTGCACCAGGAGCAGGGGGAGCAGGCAAAGGCAAAGGAGGAGAAGGAGGGGGGCCAGGAAAAGGAAGAGGCACAGGAGGAACGTCATCTTCATCAGCGGCCAGGCATACAGGAGCGAAGCGCGAAGCGTCCTCCGAAATCACTGACGACCAGCCAGCGCACAAGTCGCCGATGCTTCCCAATTCGGACGACGAGCTGTTAGCCTCGGCCCAATATGATTTAGACGATTCGTTTTTCACAGTGCCTGAGCAGTGGTGTGGCTACGCTGCCGTCCACGAGGTGTGCCGTTCCTGCCCGGCAGACGCCGCTGTCGTAGGAGAGTCGGTCTTGGACGCTCTCGTGGTAGCAAAAACCATGAAGCGTGCGAAAGAGATTCCTTCTCGAATCGCTGAGTCAGACCCTTCTTTCGAAGCACCACGTCTGAAGGAACTCAACGCCGTCCCCAAAAACTTCGACGAGGTACGCCTGCCGCCAGGGACTGCCGCCGTTCCTTCCAGGTTTGTGTACACCGCCAAGGAAGGAGAGGCTAAAGCACGTTTGGTGGTGCAGGGCTGTTTTGAACCAGGGGCTGAGAATCATGTCGCTGATTCCCCAACGCTCAACAGAAACTCTGTCAGATTCCTGTCGTGGCTAGCAGCCGTGCACGGACGGGCGCCAGAAGCTTGGGACGTCCGCAAAGCGTTCCTGCAGGCCGAGACCGACGCCGATCCACACTACGACAGTTCTCCCGTCTTCGTTGTGCCACCCAAGAGCGCATCGATCCGGCCTGGATTCGTGTGGAGGTTGCACAGGGGGAAGACGCTGCACGGTCTCCGCAGGGCGCCGCGCGCGTGGTTCTTCCACATGCGCCGTCTTCTTTTGGAACGCGGCTTCCAGCAGTCCATTTGGGACCCCTGCGTGTTTCTTTACTTCGAAGACGGCCGTCTCACAGGTTTCGTCGGGCTTCACGTCGACGACGCGTTGCTGGCAGGGGCAGGGAAGTTCTGGGATGTCATCGATTCGTTACCCCTCCAATGGGGCACCCAGCAGAAGGACGACTTTACGTTCTGCGGGTTGCACATCTCAGTAAAACTTCCATGGATTTCTTTAGATCAGAAGGAGTATTGCCACTCCTTGACGTTGATCTCCGCGCCGCCCCACCGCTCCAGACACCCCAGCGCTCCCGTGACAGAGCAGGAACGTGCTGCACTGCGAGCTGCCCTCGGCGAGCAGATCTGGTGCACTGATCAGAGCTGTCCTCACGGCGCTTTTGCTTGCAGTTCCCTTGCTTCCAAAGTACAGTCTGCAACAGTATCCACCCTCCTTGAAGCCAACAAGAACGCTAGAAGACTTAGGGGGAGGATGTGGTTTTGTATTTTGGGCCTATGGATATTTCAAAAATCTGCGTTTACACGCACGGCGACTCGTCCAAAGGCAAACCACCGCAGCGAGGCATGACCACCTTCATAGGAGAAACGATCCCAGAGGGTGTTTGTCCCATTGTGCGTGCGTATCTTTACCGTTGGGCTTCTAAGAAGCAAACCAGGTCGATTAGCTCCACGATGGCCACTGAAAGCCTCGCTGCCGAAAGCGCCCCTGATGTGCAGTACGCGACGCGGAGGGGGATTCAAGAGGCATTGAATCTAGAAGAGCCGCTTGCTGGACTCCTGCTGACAGTGGTTTCTTGTCACGAATACGTACTCCACCACACCACACATCACAGAAGAAGATGTGATACCGTCTTTGAGTCGCATCAGAGAGGCGCGTGTTGGTTGGCAGAGAACAGTAAACAGCAAAGTTATTCCTAGTGATTTGTCTTGGGTGCCTGATGCCAGTATGGTCGCGGATCCGCTCACCAAGCCAAACAGCAATCCATCGAAAATCCTCGATCCGATCAGGTCGTGTTCGATCGATTTGCGTTCGGCGGCAAGACCGACAAGCGCTGCTTCGTGCTACATGTCGCAGCCTGTTGTGGCTCAAAGCGGACCGCCGTGCTGTGGCCTCCCGGCCGGCGGAAAGTTTGAGTTCGCGATGGTTGCAACAACTGCCATTGGTGCTCGGCCCCGGCCTGCCGCAGCGCCAGGGACCACGAGCAAGGCGTCTGCTCCGGCGCCGCCTCCGAGCCGGACGCCTCCAGCACCTCCGCCGCGCCGGCCGCCACCTACAGTGCCGACGCCGCCGGTGGAGGAGCAGCTGGCCGCTGTGCCTGCCCGCAGGCTCAATGCGATCGAGCGGCATTTGGTCACAGAGAGCCTCCGGAGCTTCCGCTCCGAAGTGCCGGCGCTTCGCCGCACGCAGGGCCACCAAGATCTCGATCGGCCAGAGCAGGCAGAGAGGGCGGTGAGCCTCTTGAGGCAGCAGGTGCACGCGCAGCAGAAGGACAACATGTTGACAGACATGCTCGATCAGGACAAGCAGCTTCGAGAAGCTGGCGCGCCTCCGCCGTGGCGTAAGCAGCAGCATCTTAATGTCTTGTACCGCCGAGACGTTGACCTCTGTGGACACTGGACGTCTGCCCGCTTGCTCCGGGACCGCGAGAGATCCAAGAGACAGCGTGCCCAGATCAGGCTGGAGGAAGCAGCGAGGGCCAGGGAGAAGAGAGCTCTGTCCCCAGAGCCCGCTTCCAGCCCGCCCGGGTCGCCTGCCGAGGCAGACCCCCGTGCTTCAAGCCAGGCTCCGGCGAGACAGGCGAAACCAGGACCTCCGCAGGTCGATGCGTCTCCCTCTCCGAGCAGTGACAGCGACGCGGAGACCCTCAGCTGCGGCGGCAACGACAAGCGAGCAGGCGCGAAGATAATCGTGCTGCCAAAGCGGCCTCCGACAACGAGGCGAAGGACTGGCACGGGCTCTTCTCGCAGACCACGGACTGCCCCAAGCTGAGGCTCTCCACAGACCGGAACCTGAAGCGCAAGCCCCCGACCCAGGCCAGGCGCAGGAAGCGCTCTGACAAGCGGAAGGCAAAGAAACAGGCGAAGGCGGAAGCAAAGAAGGCCGCAGAGACAGCCACTTCCTGAACTGAACTGAGCTGTTCCTTTTCCTGGCTGCCTTTTCTTTTTTTTGTACAGAAACAAAAGAAATAATGGTGAGGTTGTCAACCGTATGCCCTTCACCATTTAGGTGTGTCACCTCTCGCTTCATCCTTCTCGCCTTGTTTCTCCTTGCCCCCCATCTTTCCTGATGCTCTTGCGCCCCGCTGCCGTTTAGGGCCCTTGAGCCAGGGCGCCACTTCCGGGAAAAGATGCGATCCTCGATCGACGAACCGATCCGAGATCGACATGGGGGGTGTGGGGGGGTGTGGGGTGGGGGGTGTGGGGGGGCGTGGGGTTGGGCGGTGGGGGGGGGTGTGGGCGGGTGTGGGCGGGCGTGGGCGGGGTGGTGGTGGTGGTGGTGGGGGGGGGGGGGGCGGGTGTGGCGGGTGTGGCGGGCGTGGCGGGTGTGGCGGGTGTGGCGGGTGTGGCGGGCGTGGCGGGTGTGGCGGGTGTGGCGGGCGTGGCGGGTGTGGCGGGTGTGGCGGGTGTGGCGGGTGTGGCGGGTGTGGCGGGTGTGGCGGGTGTGGCGGGTGTGGCGGGTGTGGCGGGCGTGGCGGGCGTGGCGGGCGTGGCGGGCGTGGCGGGTGTGGCGGGTGTGGCGGGTGTGCGGGTGTGCGGGTGTGCGGGTGTGCGGGTGTGCGGGTGTGCGGGTGTGCGCGTGTGCGCGTGTGCGCGTGTGCGCGTGTGCGCGTGTGCGGGTGAGCGCGTGTGCGCGTGTGCGCGTGTGCGCGTGTGCGCGTGTGCGCGTGTGCGCGTGTGCGCGTGTGCGCGTGTGCGCGTGTGCGCGTGTGCGCGTGTGCGCGTGTGCGCGTGTGCGCGTGTGCGCGTGTGCGCGCTGCGCGCGCGTGTGCGCGTGTGCGCGTGTGCGCGTGTGCGCGTGTGCGCGTGTGCGCGTGTGCGCGTGTGCGCGTGTGCGCGTGTGCGCGTGTGCGCGTGTGCGCGTGTGCGCGTGTGCGCGTGTGCGCGTGTGCGCGTGTGCGCGTGTGCGCGTGTGCGCGTGTGCGCGTGTGCGCGTGTGCGCGTGTGCGCGTGTGCGCGTGTGCGTGTGCGCGTGTGCGCGTGTGCGCGTGTGCGCGTGTGCGCGTGTGCGCGTGTGCGCGTGTGCGCGTGTGCGCGTGTGCGCGTGTGCGCGCGTGCGCGCGTGCGCGCGTGCGCGTGTGCGCGTGTGCGCGTGTGCGCGTGTGCGCGTGTGCGCGTGGGTGCGTGTGTGCGTGTGTGCGTGTGTGCGTGTGTGCGTGTGTGCGTGTGTGCGTGTGTGCGTGTGCGTGTGCGTGTGCGTGTGCGTGTGCGTGTGCGTGTGCGTGTGCGTGTGCGTGTGTGTGCCCGCGTGCGTGCCTGCGTGCGTGTGTGCGTGCGTGTGTGCGAGCGTGTGCGAGCGTGTGCGCGTGTGTGCGTGTGTGCGTGTGTGCGTGTGTGTGTGCGTGCGCGCGTGTGTGCGTGTGTGCGTGTGTGCGTGTGTGGGTGTATGGGTGTGTTTGTGTGTGTGTTGTGCGCGTGTGTGTGTGTGTCTCGGTCTGTGTGGTCTGTGTGTGCGTGTGTGTCTCTGTGTGTAGTTGTCTGTGTGCGTGTGTGTGTGTGTGTGCGTGTATATGTGTGTGTCTGTGTGCGTGTGTGTCTGTGTGTCTGCGCGTGTGTGGTTGCGTGTGTGTGCGTGTCTGTGTGTGTCTGTGTGCGTGTGTGTGTGTGAGTGTGTGTCCGTGTCTGTGTGTCTGTGTGTCTGTGTGTCCGTGTGTCTGTATGTGTCGGGCCTTCGCACCTTCATGTCCCTTCGATCCCGCTGCCAAGGCCCCGGGTGCGCGGCTGCGGGCCGAGTGCGGCTTCCGCGTCGCCGAGTCGCCAGGGGTGGTGGCCTGCCTGCGCGGCGCGGCCCGCTACCACTATAGGCGCCGCGGGCCGCCGCCGCCCCTCTCCGTTCAGGGGGCCACTCCACCCCTGCCGATATAGATGCATGTGCGAATCCGTAGATGTCGATGTATATTTACATAAACGTACATGTGGAGGTACATATCGATATACGTATATTATATACATATAACGGCGCACCGGGTCCGGGCGCCCGGGGCCGGCGCCGCTACCACAAATGTGGGTCCGGGGCCCTCGGGGAGCCCCGGGGCCTCACAGAAGACCGCCAGAAGGCACCAAGGATGACCCAAGAGGCTCCAGAACAGACCCGGGACGCCCGAAGGTCGCTCCCAGACGCCCAACATGGCCTCCAAGGCGGCTCCAGAAGCCCCCAAGACACCCCAAGCGACCCCCAATAGGGCCCTAAAGAGAGCCCCAAGGGGCCAAAATAGCCCCATTCCGTTTGTAAAACGTATATTTGTAACGTATTGTTTGTTTTCGCTGTCGGTCCAGCCAAGGACGCGCCCCAGAGGGCCCCAATACAGCCCCAGAGAGCTCCAGGACGGCCCACGAAGGGCCCAAGACGGCCCAAGAGAGTCCCCAAGACGGGCCCGAGAGGGCCCCATAGGAGGAAAGCCACCATCGAATTCCAAGCTTTCGACCCCAAGTGGCTCCAGGAGGCGCGCCGAGAAGCCCCCAAGAAGCACCCGGAAGGCTCCCAAAAGCACCCCGAAACGCTCCAAGAGGCACCCCAAGAGAGCTCCAAGAAGCAAAAATCGCCCCATTCCTGTGGGGAAACGTATATGTTTCGTATGTTCGCCTGTTGGGCTGTCATCGCGTCCAAGACGGCCCAAGGGGTTCCCAAGACGGCCTAGGAGGCCACCAAAAGAGCTCCAAGACGGGCCACGAGAAGCCCAGGACGGCCCAATGGGCCCCCAAGACGGCCCAAGAGAGCCCCAACACGCGCCCGAGAGGAGTCCAAGCCACTCTCGAATTCCGAGCTTTCGGCCCCAAGAGATCCCAGGAGGCGCCGATACGCCCCCAAGAGGCCCCAAGCAGGCCCCCCAAAGCACCCCAAGATGCCCCAAGAAACTAAAATCCGTCCATACCTATGGGAAAAAGTATATTTTTCGCATGCTCGCCTCTTGGGCTGTCACCGCGTCCACGACGGCCCAAGCGGCCCCCCAAAACGGCCTAGGAGGCCCTTAAGAAATCTCCAAGACGGCCCAGGAGGAACGCAGGACGGCCCAATCGGCCCCCAAGACGGCCCAAGAGAAGCTCAAGAAGCGCCCGAGAGGGGTCCCAGAAGAAGACAGCCACTTTTCTAAAGAAGGGAATTCCCAGAATTCCCTTCTTTAGAAAAGTGGGACTCCTACTCGGGGGTCCCACACATCCCCTGACATCTGGCCGGTACCGCGCCTCCCGGCTTCCCAGGGGGAGACCCCAAGACGCCGAAGGACAGCCCATGACGACCCCAAGGAGCCCCCATAACGTAAAGAACTGCCCAACACGCTCCCGCGCAGCCCGAGACGCCCTTCCGACGGCTCTCCAGGCCTCCAGGAGGCCTCCAGAAGCCCCAGGGGGTCTGGAAGATCCCACACCCCTGAGGGGCCCGGCTAACAAAACCCGCGAGGCACAAACAAAAAACAGCGCCGAACAGCGCCGAGGAACTGGAAAAAAATTGGAATCCCACATTGTTTGTTTTGTTTTCAAAGCCTGGCCCCCGGTCTACTCTTGCACAACAGACCAAAATTACGATCCCCCTCACCTTCCAAAAATAACTCAGGAAGCCTTTGAGGGCCCCAAGTCGTTGAATCGCTTCCGCACTTCCCCTTCTACACGATTCCGAGGTTTGCGCAGGGCCTCCAAGGGAGTCCCTGGACGCAAGAAGCGACCAACATGATATTTCATGAGTTAGCCGATCAAGCCTAGCTAGAACTTGAGCGCGCGCGAAGCGCGCGCGATGCTTCTAGTGTGTGTATATATATAGTTGTCGGTATGTCTATCGAGACTTGTATATGTGTGGATACGATATGTATGTGTGTGATTAAATAAGCATGTAAATCAAATAAGCACAAGGATGGACAGCGCCTGGGCATCTACATTCCCGCGCCCGTCTTCGCATACGGATGGTTGTATGTATCTTTCAGTCGAGGTCGCTTTCAGCCGAGGAGTCTCCTCATCCAACGTGCGAGTCCTCGTCCGCGACAGCGCCAATGCCAAACAGAGGTGCACCGTCGACCACAATGGAGATGTGACGCACTTCATGTTGAACATCTTCGATACATCCATATTCATCCATGCCGGCACGGCCCCTCCAACAACCGCCACTTGCCATGCGCCGACCTTTAGGGGCAAGGATTTCCAAACGCGGTTGGGTGTCGTTCATAATGATTCCGGCGCTCTTGCTTCCATTCTCGCGGATGGAGGCGCTATAGACGATGTCATATCCAACAGCGCATCGTGCATGTCGAAGGAGAAAGAAAGGTTACGGCATTACGAGCACCACGGTTTGGGGTACGATGAATGGCTGAGCTGTAGCAGGGACTGGGCGTTTTCCAACGCTTCCGATGTCGTTAAGCCTCAGGTTTCGAGAGTCCACCACGTCCTCGCCGTCCCGCCACTGGGCAGCGCCTCGCACAACCTGCACGTGGCCTCCGGAGCACCATCAGCGTCTCCTCAGGACTCGTCTCCTCAGGACTCGTCCACCGCCGCCGCGGCCTGGCTAGCACCACTCGCCGTCGCCGATGAAAGTTCACGTCGACCGTTTGAGCCGAACACTACTGCGCGCCCGATTGCAGAAGTATCGATCACACGTGTCATTGACCCTGCATTTTGCCCTGCGGATGCCGCTGACAAACCTGGACCTCCTGGATCGATCTTCCCGCGCAGCTTACATGCCCACTGGAACGGAGCCCCACATCCGATTATGCCGGTCCAACGCGCCCTCTCCGCCGCGCCAGCGGGCGAGCTTGCCCCCGACGAGGACATGCCACCCGGTGCACCACCAAGGCAATTGGCATGCTCGTCCACGGCCGCAGCGGCCTGGTCTGCAGCCCCGGGCGGCGCGGACAGGAATCGACGACTCAACCCACGCCGTGTTCTACACGCAACGCGAT